TGATTTTACTAATGCTCAGATATTGCCCATCCCGTTTCCATAAAGTCCTGTTACTCAGTCCGTTTTCATTGCCTGTCCCAGAGATTGAAATCGAAATTACTATGTCACTAAACTCACGAATCAACACTTTAATCCACTAGGCCAGTGTTTCGCAACTTTTTTTTTATTTTTTTATTTCAGGGCGCTCATGTAGAATAACTAAGACTCTAGGCGCAATTTAAATTTTAACAAAGAAAAAGGAATCATGAAATTTAGTATCTAGGTTAAAATATCAAATGAGAAAGATTTCACTTAGACCTGGAAGTCATAGTTTTTGTGTTTTTAGCGTTTTAAAAATAAAGATTTTTTAAATGTAAAAACAATTCATAAATTACACTTCTGTTAACTTGATGCACACCTGGCTACCTTTCAGGGCGCATTAGTGAGTCCGGTGCATCGGTTGAGAAACGCTGCATTAGCCTGTTGTCAACAACAAAGACGCGTGTAAAGGAAAACTGGAGCAAATATTCCGATGATCGAAAATTGCTACAATCGATCTGCTAATGGTTTGGTTTAGTTTGGTTTGATTTGGTTTGGTTTGGTTTGGTTTAAGGCATATCAACTTCATTGGGTTATTTAAAGCTGAAAAGATTTTTTATTTCTGGCAATGTTTTTTTTTTTTTTCAAAATATGTATTGCCGGTAAAAAGTACTGCTGTTAATAATGTATTGCTGGTAATAATTATTTCTTCAAAAATTCATTACTGGTAATAATTTTTTACAAAAAATTAGTGCTAGTATTAAAAACCTATTTTTACACTTTCATAGTGTTTTGACCCCAAATATAGCTGGGACCCTTACAGGTGCTACCACCTCAGGTCAGGATGGACCTGGAAACACCACCAATTAAGAGGTGGTTCCGCGCTCCTTAAAACCTCTCGATTAGAGGCCTTGCTGTAGTTTATCGTCTCACCCAGGACGCGGATGTAGTTTATCGTCTTACCCAGGACGCGGATGTAGTTTATTGTCTTACTCAGGACGGGGTCTGTTAATGAAAATATATGGACTATACAAAGAATACTCGAGGATTTCCATCCAGATCAGACAAATACGTACAGTGAATAATTCTCAGACATAAGACACCGGGTAGAGTAGAGTATTTGAAGAAATAGTTTTAATGTATAACTCTTTAAATTCAAAACAGTAGTTATTTTTGTTAGGTCATGTTTGCTATCAATAATTAGATATGTTTTAATCTTAAGCTATGTTTGACATGCTTCCGATAAAAATAAATAATTATCGTAATTAGATCTTGAATAAAGGCACTTATAAGTTTGAATAAATATGAAGGCAAGTTGCACTTCAGAAGTTTTGAGAATTTTTAAGGTAGAAATTGATTTCAAAAAACATTCTAATCTTCAATGTAGGACTTTTCGACTACAATGCAGTTGTTGTATTGCTCCAGATATTTTTTGAAGGTCCTCAAAATTCAAGGTGTGTCCAAAACCCTCATCACAGACACTTTATTCTCTTGCACGTCCTCAAAACTTTAATCATGAAGCTGTCTTGATAGTTTACTAAGTTTTCCATAATGCATTGTTAATCTCGACAAAAACGCCAAAGAAATTTATGAAATGATCATGACTGAATAATGATACTTATCTTTTGAATAATGCGCTTTATCTTTTGAATAAAAGTATATTAGTTTTGAATAATGGTACTTATATTTTGAATAAAGAGCTACGCTTTTTATGAAGTACATTTATTTTGAATAATCACACTAAACAAAGATGTACTCGCTTTGAATAAAGTATATATATTTTGATTAAGGGTACTTATATTTTGAATAAAAGTCTACAACTTTTGAATAAAAGTAGATCTGTTTTGAATAATGTTAATTATATTTTGAATAAAAATAAATGAGTTTTGAATAAAAGTACATGAATTTTGAACAATGGTGCTTATATTTTAAATAAAGATCTACCCGTTTTGAATAAAGTACATTTATTTTGAATAATTTACTTATATTTTTAATAGAGGGCTACACGTTTTGAATAAGAGTATATCTTTTTGGAATAATGTTAATTATATTTTGAATAAAAGTAAATGAGTTTTGATCAACGGTACTTATATTTTTAATAAAGTACATTTATTTTGAATAGTTGTGAATAAAGGTCGATATCATTTGAATGAAAGTACATCTGTTTTAAATAATAGTATTTATAGTAAACGCATTGACTTGCATTTAACCGTAGCAGTTTAATTAGTATGTGATTGTGACCTTGAGCTTGACTTAACTTGCAGTAGTGTTCGATCCTCCCTAATATGCTACTATCATGTTCTTTTGCTGAACTAAAATAAATTTCGTAACTACAGCTTTTGGCCACACTTGGGGAATAGTTTTCATTTAGCTTATACTTACATCAAACATTCATATCCACCAGAACGGTCCAAATTTGCTTGATTTAAGATCAACTCCATCTATTTCAGAGCTGTAAAACTCAAACAAAATTTCAACACACGTTTTTATTGTTACAGACATATTGTGTTACAAAAGGTTTATATAAATATTAATAAATGCATGCACGCAATATTTATTTATGTACGTCGTGTTTTTTTAACTGTTAATTTTTATTAGATTCAATAATCACAAATGACACATATATATAACAAATGGCACATATATATAACAAATGACACATATACAATGCTGTTAGGTAAAAGTGACTCACCTGATTTTTTTTACGAAAAATATTTTTTGTCTATTGTTTTTGGGGTTAAAATAATTTTTAATCTCACTAATATAAAGACCCCTTCCCGACCACATAGGAAAAAAAGTTTATTCACCCTAAGGTATTCTATTGATAATTATAAATTTGGATATAAATGAGATTCAGGAAAAAAAACTCTGTGCAAAAAAAGTGACTCAGATATCGCATTCTAATGATTAAACTGGTAAATTTAAAGAACTTTTGACAAAATATTGAAAACTATTTTACAATACACTCAGAACAATATTCTAGAGAATTCTAGAACAGCTTAAATTAAATCTAAAGTATTCCAGAAAGCCTCATACAGTATAAAAAAAAGCTTGAAATAGCCACTCAAGTCACTAAACAGATGAAAGAGTACAAACATGCATCAGAACCACTTAAGGCATCTATTATTGCCCTCTCATAAGCAGGCAAGTCTACGAGAGAAACTGCAGAAATTACTATAACCTCGCAATCAACTGTCTCTCGAGTGCTTAGGGCACATAATGATGCCACTCCTGCTCCAAGGAAGGAAACAAGGGGATGAAAGAAAAAGATTGATGATAGAACTGGCAGGGTAATCAAGAGAGAAGTTGCGAAGAATAGGAATATAACTAGCGAAGAAATTGCAGCCAGTCTAAGCGAAGAACAAGGTGTTAGTCTTGCGTCTTCAACAGTCCGTCGGTGACTTTTAGAACAAGGCTACAAATCTTGCACACGAAGGTTTCAGCCGCTAATAAGCAAAACCAACAAAGCCAAGAGACTTGAATGGGCTCACTATTACAAAAATTTCACCGTAGAAGACTGGAAGAATGTTCTCTTCTCCGATGAAACGAAAGTTGAGATAAATTCAAAGGATAAGGTGAGTCACTTTTATCGAACAGCACTGTATATAACAAATGCTTTCAAAATTTTCACCAATGAGAGTTTTAACAATATTGTGCGTATTTAATATGGAAATGCGCCACAGTAACCACGAACAAAAATATGCAAATTAGAATAAGTAGAATAAAATAAATTATAAGTAATATAATAAATAGTGAATATAAAGTTTTATTTTTTTCTTCTTATTCAATAGGAAAAGAAAAACGGTCAACATATTTTCACGAGCAGCACATGAAAGATGGTTAGAGAGCTGCAAGTGGTCAATCTTTGTGCTACGATAGGTACTCTGAATGTTTTCTAATTTTAGACTCGTCTACGACTGTTCCAGATGAATTTTAATTACGGTAAAGTACGACTGTTTCGTTAATATTTAAATTAAGTTTTCGCTTGCCTATAGCGAAAGCCATCATTTCTTTCGCTACCGAAAAACAGCGCAGAACTTTTCGTAAGCCAAAAATGGCGTAAAATGAAAAAGCGATTGCTATTAATTTATGTGCGAATTTTTCTTTTTTTTTTTTAACGAGAAACTAAACTTGCTTGAGATTTTCGCTACAACTGAGTGGGGTTGCAATAATCGCAGAAATGCATCTTGTTAATTTTGAAGGGAAAAGTAGATTTAGATTTCCAGGATGATTGGGACACCAACAAAGATCCGGATGTGGGCATAGGTAATGGTTAATTAGCTAATCTATTGAGTAACGAGTTCAGTCTTCATTGAGTTCCCACTATTTATGACCTTGCGCCAAACTAGGCCAAGGTTTGGTGGTGCAGCGTGGGTTAGTGGTTAACGACCTAGTCTGACTAAATATAACAGTGATTTTAATATTCATTGCGTGCTAAAGCTAAAGGTGCCTTGGAGTGAGGTAATGGTTTACGAGCTATATTTTTTTACTAGGACTACTGACTACGGTCCATGCTCTATGCTCTATAATTGTGACCTTGTACCAAACTAAGTTAAACAGAGTAAAATAATAAAAAAGAGGTGGACAACAGAACAACAGATAATGCTAAGCAATCAAGCATACTTTCACAATTCAAGCCTTTCACAATAGCCACAGCAGACGATGAACCTTGAACTTCGATAACAAGGCAGGCAGACGAAGAAGAAAGCACCCAAAAATATATCCTATGTAAAATAATGGTAATTTCTTCTTCGTTTTACGCCATTTCGGATAGCGGGGAAAACATCAACTAGTATAGGTTTTTGGTAAAAGTGAAGTGGCGTAAAACGAATGTATGTATTGACTTTTACTTGGATTCGAAATCCGACGGTGGCATTAACCTCTGTCCCGTGCTTTGACAAAGAATTAATGCAAAATCTTTTCAGTGGTGACATCATGCAGCATAAGAATGGACACATTTATTATGAAAGAAATGTTATAACTTATCCTTTCGGGGAGATAGCGAAATAGATAGATCACCAGTGCCAACAAAAATGATAATAAATCTCTTACTCATAACCCTCAACAATTTTCTTTAACAATTTCTCATTACTTTTTTAGCCTTTTTCAAAGAAGACAATAATGGTTAATTGCAAAAAGCTGTTAACTCCCATTGTCAACCTTGACAGTTATAACTGCCTGAGCGGGGGATATTGTTATTGGTGGGGGTATCAACTATTTTTTACACTGTCAAAATTCGTGGTATGTTAGTAATAAAATGTTCCGATAAAATAGCGTTCAGGGAGTATTAGCTTCATGCTTTTCTTAAGAGCATTATTCCAGTTGAAATTCAAACTCTGTCATTTCGGATTCCAATACTTTAATGTCTGTTAGTAGACGGAATATAGAAAACAGGGAGAAGATGTTTCATGTCTCCTAGAGCATCATTTCTACATCAGTATTAGCGCCCTTAGTTGAAAATCAAAATATTTTTGCCATTTTGCCATTTCAATTTCCCCATTTTCTGGAAATGCTGATGAAGTAGTATAAGGGTTTCATGCCTTTAGTCAGGGCATTATGTTTAAATCATCACAAGCAGCCTTAGCCGAAATTCGAACTCAGTTAAACGGTTCTGTTTTCTCCGCCATTACATTTATCATTTATCTCGATGTTAAAAGCATCTTTTTTTTTTATTTTTGGAAATATTTCGCGAAATACTTGTCATGTCCATAAAAATAAATCAAACGTTGAGGCTTTTATTAAAATGGTGACCTGGGTCATGATATAAGGTCAGGCATGAAAGCGACTTTTTCTTTCATCTATAATTGTCACGAAGAAACGCTTTTGGTGTGGACTGACAGAAAAAACAAAAAAATGCAAAAACAAACAAAAAGCAAAAACAAAAAACAAAAAAACAACAACAAAAACAAAAAACAAAACAAAATAGACAAATATATCCAGGCGATAGGAAAACTATGAAAGCTGCTTGAAAATCCGGGTCTTTAGTCGGGCCTAGAATAGTTTTTCAATTTCGAATATCGAAGATTAAAATAATGCTATCAGGAAAAAGCCGAGTATAACCAGAAAAATAAACTAAATTAACTTTTGTTTATAATGTCATTACTTTATGTTAGTCTATCTCAGTCTTATAAGATAATGTATCATATCTGGCTATCTATTTATATCAGTCTCATCGTTGTCTATCTATCTATCTATCTATCTATCTATCTATCTATCTATCTATCCCATTCTCTTTATCTATCTATCTATCTATCTATCTATCTATCTATCTATCTATCAAAGAAGCAGTGGCATAGCTAAAGGGGGCGAGGGGGGAGGACCGCCCCGGGTGCCAGCACAGGAGGGGTGACACAATGTCACCCCCAACAAAATTTTTCAACCAGGCTAAGGTGTCAAAAATAGTCTGAAAACAGTGGTGGAGACACAGGGTTTCGCAGGCGGGCATATGACCCCCACCCCGAAATAATGACCCCCCAGTTTTGTCCCCCTGTCAGAAATTTTCTAATAAATTGTCGGGAAATTTGTGAGTAGCGATGTTTTCAGCTTTCATGTGTTTCAGTTGCTACAATATTGGTTACTAACAAGAGACATTGTTGTAACATTTTATCGGATGATATGGTGTTTTAACTCTGCATCATTAATAACAACAAAGCGAAATACGAAGCCAAAAGTGCAACAATTTCAGTCTTGCCTGTGTATCAATTCGCTGAGATACAATTTTCCATTGAGTGAGCGATATACTTTTGAATATATCTACTAGTGTTGGGACGATTAATCGGAAAAATCGGAACTTTTTGGGGTATCGGAAAAATTTGTGCCTATTTTCAGATTCCAAAAACGATTCTTTTAAATTTTTAACTTAATTTTCCATTATTGGTACTAATGATAAATATTTACTGTTTTTAAATTATCACTAAAACTAAAATCATAATAGCATCAAAATACGATGTAAATTTATTTTACTTGTATGAAGAAAAACAAAAAAATAAACTTTGCATAAATTCTCTAGGTAAGCTTCAAAAGAATGCAGTTGATTTACAATGTTCCGAAAAATGCTTAAAAATTAAATAGAAGATTTTTGTCAAGAAAAATACTTTCAAACATCATTGATAATTAAATGGTACCCAGAAAATGATGCAACGAAAAATTGGACACCGGAAAATTAGCAACAGAAAATTACGTCAACCATGAGCCAGTCGAGACTGTCGGATCTGGCTGTGCTGTCCATTGAAAACGAGCTTACAAGACAAACAAATTTTGACGATGTCATTGACCAGCTTGCCACAATGAAAACAAGAAAACATTCATTCTAAGACCATAGTATCGAATGTCATGCTTTTGTGTATTGCCGTGTTTTGTATTTAGTTGTTCTGAAAGTGAACAGTTGCATTTTAAAAATCTTTTGATTTGAACTGATTATTTTGTGGTATTGGATTTTGTCTTGGATCATACATGTAAACAGTAACGTACCGGTCAGTAGAGTAAAGTAGAGGTAGAGCATGTATGAAAATTTAGCTACAGCTAACCATTCAGCATAGGGTGAATCGGGGTCATTGGGGGTGACATTTGAGCGGACCGCCCCGGGTGATGTTTATTCTAGCTACTCCACTGCAAAGAAGTGTACATTTTGGTCATTTATGTTTTTTTTTCATCCAATAAAAAGCTCGAGCGCCGCTCAAAATAGAGATTTATTGAGTGAAGTATGTGATCTGAATGTAAGAGGCGGTGGTAGGAGTTGAAGTTTATGAGGATAAGGAGAATAGATAATGATTGTCCATTGACTTGAAGAGGTTAAGATTGTATAATAATCTATCTATCTATCTATCTATCTATCTATCTATCTATCTATCTATCTCAGTCTGTTCATATCTATCTATCTATCTATCTATCTATCTATCTATCTATCTATCTATCTATCTCAGTCTGTTCATATCTATCTATCTATCTATCTATCTATCTATCTATCTATCTATCTATCTATCTCAGTCTGTTCAAACCTCGGCGTGGTATCATAGTTATCAAGGCTAGTCTGCTTGAATATTAGTAGTGGGTTCGATCCTCAGTGCGATTTCCATACAAAATAAATCCAGATTAACTAAGCCAACAAGGTTTGACATGTCTTAAAATAAATCAATTTAACCGGTTACCTTCCAATAATATCAGTTTCCTGATGATGAACAATATAAGGTCAGTTATCTTCTGACATAGTGCAAATAATACTACAACAATGCAATTTGTTGTACTTTGACTGAGATCCCTCTCTTTATTCTGGTGTAAAATAGAGAGAGAGAGAGAGAGAAAGAGATAGAGAGAGAGAAAGAGAGAGAGAGAGAAAGAGAGAGAGAGGGGGGGCTCGAAAAACGACACAATATTTTCAGATTCAAAATTTCATTGGCTGAGAAAAGCATAAGGTTTATTTATTTAATATCGCCGAACCACTTTCAGCAATACGAATTGTAGCCCTCCTTCCATCAAAGCGGGGTACTCTCAAAATGGCGAACAACACATACAAGTACTCTCTGTTTCCTTTATTAGCTCTTCTTCTTTTATGTACCGTGTTCCATCAGGGCGTAGGCGATCATGGCTCTCCACTACCTCCTATCCATTGTAGCTCTCAATAAGTTTTCTCCCTTTGCTACTTCTCCCAGACCATGTTCTGTCATATACTTGCTTAAGCCCACTAAGTATGTCACGCGTTGCTTTCCCTTGTCTCTCTTTCTCTCTATTCGCCCTGATAGCATCAGATTCTCCAAGCCCTCCTTTCTTGTCTCCTTACGTGTCCCCAAAATTTCAGCTGCCTCTTCCTGATGTTAAATATAAGCTTGTTTGTTTGGGGAGGATGAAAACAAGGAGGAAGCTTGTACTTTATTGGTTACATTTTAAATATGCATTTCCTGGATACATCAGCATCAATCGCTGACACCGAGTATCTAGTTAGTCACATGATTCACCATGAGTTATGTCTTGCTTGAAACATCGTATATTAAGTAAGAGATATGTATTTTGGAGCAGATCAACAATGGTAAGCTTTGAGGAAACTTGGTGATTATGGCTCGCCCTTTGAAACGTTTAGTAAATTTTGTATGTTTGCTTTCTCTCCTAATTTCTGTTCTGCCATCCATTTTACTAAAGCTCGTTAGGTAGGTAATATTTTGCTTTCCTTGGTCCCTCTTGCCTTCAATATGTCCAGTGAGTATCAGATTTTCCAAGCCTTCTTTCTTCATTATGTTTCCTGGAAATTTCAGCTGTCTCTTTCTGATGTTAAGTATAAGTGTACTTTTTGATTCCTTATTGTCTAAAACTTCGTCATTGCTCACATAATCACTCAGTATCATTCTACAGAACCACGTTTGTGTCGCATCAAGTCTCTTCTTCATCTGTGAAGAGATTGTCCAGCATTTACTGCCATATCGCAGGACTGATATTATGCAACAATTCAGTACTTGTTTTCTAACGAAATTTTCATGTTTCTTAATACTTTGCTTAGCTTTTGGAAGGCAACTTATGTGATCCCACGCGTCTTCGGATATCGGCGTCGTACTTTGCTTCCTCTGTTAAGACACTTCTCAGATGCTTAAATTGTTGTATTTTGGTATCTCCAATTTGTAATTTGTATGTCAGGTTGTTCCTTTTGCTGATAACCATCTTGCAATTGATATATATATATATATATGCTTAAAACATAAGCAGAAATTTAACAAATTATGTAAAAGTCGTCTCCCTAACAGAATGATCGAATGTAAGTAAAATAAAGAATTTAAAATTTCAGAAACAGGTACGTCGAATTCGTCTCGCCTTACGTGACGAGTTGAAGCATAACTTGGATTTGTGTACCGGTTAAAAAAAATTCTCCCTAAAATCCCTATTTTCGTGTAGCCCAAAGTAAGTGGTCGAGTAAGGTTAAAATATATATTCTAAAGTCTTTATTGATAATGAAGAAAGTTAAGGTGTTAAAAAAGTGTGTATGTACCGAGATGTATGTAGAAAAACGCATAGAAATCTTGGAAATTAATCATAGTTTACAGGAGAAAAGGAAATACAAGCACATCGACTCAA